GATGTTTAATGGATGTTTAATGGATGTTTAATGGATGTTTAATGGATGTTTAATGGATGTTTAATGGATGTTTAATGGATGTTTAATGAACGACCACAAATACAAACATTTGTAAAATTGACAAACCCGGATTGAGACTAAATTTCCAGTTTTTAAATTGAAATTTTCGTGTAGGTAAGACTTTTTCCATCCATATACCCAATATATACGAGACAAGTATTACAAAAAACATGGAAAAAACACCACCATTTGGACGAAAGTAATAAAATTCTGATAGCGTGGCACCTAATGTTGTAAAGAGCTGTACAAAAAAAAAAAAAAAAAAAATCAAAAGCACATATAATTACTAGAAAATCACGTGTTTTATTTAAATTTTATAAAGCTATCAAGTTCAGATTGTTCATATGCAAATTTAGGACTTACACTACTTAATACCCAGAATCGAAAAGTTATGCACGGTAACGTCGGATTGTCACTTGTACTGACGGCCTAAGATTTTCCGATCAAAGAAAGCTTGGAGATAATACAATACAAAACAGTGAAAGGAAATAGTTGACATTTTAAAATTTACCGCTGAAATCATGAGAGTTTGAGAATCTTCATCTAATTTCTTTTCATAAATTTTTTCTGGATCATGGATTTTCCCGTCGACATTATCAATAACATTAACATCACCTTCAACACTCTTTTCGTTAATTGAAAGGCTGCGTTTATCATTAGCTTCCATAGTCACCTCAAATCAAGTGAGAAAAATCTAAAAAAAAAAAAAGGAAGGTTTGATTTAAATCAAATTTATAGCTATTTCATTGAATATCTCGTGAATGGGAACGAAAAAAAGTCGAGATAAATCTGGCAAATACTATTTTCTGAAACAGAATATATTCTCAAGAATCGAGTTTCTTAATTTAATAATAAATAATATGTATGGTTAAAACCGTCAAGCTATACGGTATCACCAGATCTTATGAAAGAAACTAAAATAAGTGTTGTGATAGAACGTATTCATATATTTATATGTAAATAACAATATCTATGATCAATGATAAATTAAAATGCAGATGGTGACAAACATTTCGCTCTCACCTCTATGGAAATACAATTTACATCATTGATTTCTTTTATTACTGTATTACATTTATATATTTATCATAGTATACAGCACCAGTCTTATTAGATGAAAGTATAACGATAATTAAAATCATTGGCTTTGCCCAATTCGTGACTCTAATTCGAAAACTTGTAACCAAGCATATTGATAGATCGTAACGTGTAAAGTGAAGAAATTGACACATACTAATAATAAATTGGTTACTGTTTGAGCCATCAAAGAAGGCATGAGGAACCCTTGTCTCGAAACATACTTTTTTTTTTTTTTTAATTAGTGCTGCCAAATTAAAACCTAGAACTAACCCAAGAAATTCATGTGATGAATTATTAGTTTTAATTTGGCGATATTATTCACATATCGGTTCACATCTATGTTATTAATCATTTTCTTAATCATTTTGTGGTACACACGATAGTGAAGTGGTGGGAATATTAGTAACCCGCCCGATACTAATATAGTTTCAGAGTAGTCTTTAAACCCCGGTAGAGTTCGTCATTTAATCCAATGGGCGTGCATAAGTTTGCATTCAAATTTTCCTGAAACACCTATTACGTACGTACGTATGTAAAGGTACACATTTCGTAACGGTAATACTTGCATAATATTGCGTACGATGAACGATATCAACAAACGATATCGATACATCAGTTTTTTTATCCGAATATAGACACGTAAAAAAAACAAGAAGGCAATTACTGCATAAAATGAAATGAATATTGTTAAGGAAAAACCTGTATTGGGCTTTCAATTATATTTTGTATCGGATACAACAAGTCTAATTTGTTAGAGATCACACTATGTGATTTAGAGGTTCTTAAGCATCTTTCTCAATAGACTTAACGGAGAGTCTGATTGGTCTGTCTGATCAAAATGGCCCATCAGATTCTTTATTGAATTCAATCATTGATAAAGGTGCTTGAGAACGCCCTTAGTGTCATAGAACGACTTTTATATGATGAATTTCATATGATTGGTTGTTTAAGTCAATTTAATTTTACATTATTTATACAGTTTAAAGTACTTTTTCAAAAAAAATAATTAAAAAATAGTACATAGGAGGTATTATTAGTGGTTTAGGACTCCACTATTGAAAATGATCAAAATCCCTTTTTATTTTAGCGAAGTTAGTATTATAATAACTTCTTAAAAATATAAAACAAAAAGGGATTTTGATCATTTTTAATAGTGGAGTCCTACAACACTAATAATACCTCCTATGTACTTTTTTTTTGTAAAATTAAATTGTCCTATGACCCTTAGTGTGATTATATTAAAGTAGTGATGTGATCTCTCGAATTATTAATAATTAATAATTAATTATATAGTATATTAACCATTGGCCGAGCTATTAACTAAAACCACATAGTAATGTGTGGCACAGTAGATCGAATCAATTTAAACCATCGCTATATAAAAAAGTGGTATTTAATTTATATATTTATTGTCAAATATAAAACTACTAGCTCTCAGACCCGGGCGTTGCTCCGGAGGCTTCGTTTTAATTTTTTTTAATTCCTAACTTTTTAAATATTAA